AGTTTTACATTTCCTCAAATCAATGACGTTATCAATGTGGTTAAGTGAAGGTCCGATATACTTACTTTTCTTCTGCTCATGATCAGCTCTGGTGTTTTCTCGAGACAGGTTTTCGATTGTTGTACCTTTTGGCACCCCGCACAAGTGAGATTAAACATTTCCTTGACAAAAACCATGAGAGCTTAGCAAATCAGTTAGTTATGCCAAACACTACTTTCTTCAACTAGCATTAGTTGAGGCGGAAAACGTCTGGTAAAATCGAATTTGATGTAGAGGAGAAGCAAAACATTCACTAACACAGTTGCCATAATGTAATTTTTTTTATGTGATATTGTTAGTGATATAACGTTGACCTTAGTTATGAGGGAATTTAAAATTATCAAAGAAACTTGCTTACAAAAGCGAAGGCTAATCAATAGCTTCAACCACTGACTTTGCGGCGCAATAGCGTTGCACAAGCATCAAGCTATTGCCGGAAAATTACCAGCTTGTTGTAGTTAAAAATGACTCGCAGCGATTTCCTTTTTAACGGATATTCAGTGAGCTTCCTGCGGATAAGACTTTGATATTCTGACAGCTTGCGTCTACAACTTCTTGTGCCACTTGCTCAGCGTGCTTTATTATTGGGTCTTACTTATTCAGTTATATTTAGAGTGTCAGATTACGCATTTGTGACTAGAAAAGAGTTAAGTATTGGTCAGATGAGATCTTAACGAATAAAACTTGCATTACCGACTTAACAGAATCGAAGCTGGTGGATTTTTAAAGTCCCAAGTAAGTTAAATCTCCTTAACAGTTTAAAATTTGTTTTTTATTTTACATAGTCATTTCGATTTGTTAGTACGTGGTCAATATATCACCCTGAAAGATATAGAGATGTATTAACCAGACGCAAACGATGTAACGATAAGAAATCATTCTCTTTGCCAATGAACATGAAATGTTCATCTAACTACATTGCTTAGCTTTTATGTTCTGAGAGCTCGCTCCCCTTACTAAGAATATATTTGACGGTATACACAAACATAGCAACGGCGGAAAGTCCATCATAGCGGTAACATCTGAGCTTTTTCAGGAAATACCCGAGACTTATTTTATACCTTGAAGTGCTCTCACGAGCTTCTCACGAAAACTGCAGTTTACCACGGTATCTGCACC